GTAAGTAATAATAGCAGAATCATTAATGTTTGGGCAGGCACGTGCGTTCTCTAGTCTCGCCACTAATGTCGGGGGCGAGACAGTCATCACTCATAGTTAGCGAGCCCCGACCTCTGAGGGAACCCCGATGCCCTATCACTGCCAGGAAAAGAAGCAATTTTTATCACAGCGCCACAAAAGAGTTGCGGTCGCGAATTTGTCACTGGCTTATTTTGTGGGGAACGTCGAAAAAGTGTAATGTTTACTTATACAATGATAGATATTAATGACACGGTAATCATTCACAGTTGTTCGCTGACTCCTTGACACTCCCTTGTGGTTTCAAGGATCGAACCTTATTCAATGTACTTACCTACCTATTGACTTTTGGAAAATTTCAGGTATATTCTTTATATAATTTTAATGTACATTGGATATCAATAATTTTAACTTAACTTAGTTATTCATCTTTCATTTAAATTTAATCTTTTTGTATACATTTTTATTAGTGATATCTATACCTACTATTTGAACCAAAGTTCTAAGAATAAGTTTATAGTTAACATGCTATTTAACTGATTGACATCGTCATGAGTTTTCTTAAAAACACTTAATTTAATTGCTACGATAGTCCTGATGGGAGATTACTATCTCTTTAGTTATCTTACATTGTAAGTTGATACTAAATCTAAAACTGAAATATTATCAGTAAGTACATCAAAATTCTCGGAAACTCACAGGGTAAATCGAGGCATCATTGTCAATACTATCAATCGGAGATCGATTAACGATTGAATGTGTATTGCCAATTATAATTATCGAATTCAATTAGGGTATCAGTGTTGATCTTGTACCGACATCAGATTTCAATGCAATATACAATAATTAAAAATATAACAAACAGATATGCAACTAAATAGAACATTACCTTGACTGGAAACACGAATTTTGTATATTGTTATATGTTATTCCAATTAGTAACGATTGTGCCAAATACTTGACTCAGATACTTGACAAGATATTGAAACTTGAAGACTCAGTTTTACATAAATAAAAATTACATAAACATTTTTGTAGACCTGATTAGTAGACTATCTACGTATCTAAGAGTATATACAGATACACAATTATTTATATTTATGTCTCACGCACATAATTATGAATGTTGTTCTAGCAACTTGTCAAAATTCATAGGTACTGATATTTTGGAAAATTTATATAATTAACTAATGTTTCGTACTTAATAGTATTCGATGATGATCACATCACATTTCTATTACCGTGGTAGGCAATGTACTCTTTATAAATAACCTTGTGAAAATGACGGAAATTGCGATATATGGTGAGTGTGCATGCGGACCGCAAACCAGAAAAAAGATGTAGTTTCTAAGGTAATACAATGGTATCGCGGATGCCTACTGAAAACGTCTGCTTATGAGCATATCTCTGTTTCAATTCTAAGTACGTCCTCACACATCCATGAAAGAGATAGCATGCCCTAACGTAATAGAGACCGGGGCATTAATATGTTATTTTAGTGCCAATAAATAAAACCTGCCACGTACCTTCCACCAGTATGTTCTCGTTTAATTTATGTGATTTTTTTACGCTTAATTAATGTTTTGATACTAGATTGTCCAGTACTTTAATCAATTTTATTAATCAATAAAATTTAAAATATGAATTTCAGACTAACGGTAATATTTTATGAGTACTTCTCTTGATCATAGAGAACAAAATATGTAAATATTTCAATTAAAATGTTCGTTCAGATCATGTGTAGAAGCAGCCATGTGTATGCTTTTTCATGTGAATATAGCGTGACACTGAGCCGTTCAAATCCACTCGAGTGCCTAATATATCCGCTCACCGGTATTGTTCCACGGATTTGGTACTGTCCTACAAGCACAGCAATTACCCGATTTTGACTATCGAGTCTCTCTCGATTGGTACGCGAGCCACATGGGGATTACCAACTTTGATGCACTACGCCAACGAGATAAATCAACCGACCATTTGCCTATTCTAGATAACTTACTGTATTTTGCGTGAACGAAGACACGGTTGTTTCAACATCATAATTCGAACTACAAAGCGATAGTAAAACATTAACACAATAGTAGAGTACTTACGTTTCTTTTCTATAGGAACAGACATTGAGTAGTCCGTCCTAGGTAGAAAATCCTGCTTGACATCATCAACCTCTAACAGTGAGAAAATAAAAATGAGAATAATAATTATGCGATAGATTTCACAGTAAACTATTATTACCAAAATATTTTTGCATTGAACGACCATTGATTACTCTTTTGGATGGTGTAAACATGATATTCGCATACAAACACACCTATATCATATTTCCAAACAGCCAAATTCAATACATCTCTTTGTCTTGACACGATCCGAGTGTGACGTTAACGAGAAACGTGACATCCAACATGCAATAAGGATTTGTAAGTCAGTACTGTCGTGTCGAACATAAATCGTGTGACGTCATCAATGACAATAATTACTAATGCAAACAGGTAACTAAGCTGAACAATTTGTCTGAGCAATGAACAAACAAGCTGTTTACTTAGTATAATTATTTAGCTCGAGTCTTGAACAATAATTATGCTATTATCTCACAAATACTCGTTACCATTCTAATAAGGTATCGTACGAGGTAGTTTTTATCTTTTTTTTCTCTCAGTCTCCCTATATGAATTGCTTGTGTAAGTTTTTATTGCCTATGTAATAGTCGCGTACATCATTTCGCTTATCTACGTATTCTTTATACATTTTTAAATTTTATTACGGCCTTTTTAAATTTTATTGCGGGTTTAACATGGCTATTTATTTAGTATTAGCGCGACTTGAATTTTAATTTCATTTTCATTAAAAAATATTTTAACATTAGATATAATGAATATGTAATGTATGGTGGGAAATAGTTGAACTTATATATTTTTTTTTAAATTGCCTGTGTCATAATAGTACGCAAAGAAACGAAATATAATTTTATATTAGTTGATAAGTAAACTTTGTATCATATTAGTTAACTCTGCATTCTTGAGCAAAATTAACGTGCGCGGGTTGAAAAATAAAAACATTTAGTATCTACAGTTATACACGTCCACTACGACGATCTGAGCAACTTTTTAATGTTTTTACGTGACCTCTACGTAGGTACACACGGGTGCGTAGCCTATAATTAGGTCTACTGGAATATGCTGGGCCTATAAATACAGGTCTACGCACGGCTACGCATTCTCTACACAGGCCTACGCATCCTCTACGCATGTCTACTCGAATATGCTCGGCCTGTATACAGGTCTACGCATTCTCTACACAGGTCTACGCATGGCTACGCACCACTAGACTATGTCTACGCAGATTGTATTTTAACGTAACTCCAAAGGAAAATGTACCTACGTGATTTTTTTACTTGGACATCGCCTATTAGGGTTAGACGTGTCTTTTTAGGACCACGCTGCTTAGCTTTATCATCATTATAATATTAATTCTACAATAAAAAACCTCTTTTCCAAACTTTTTGAGATACAAGTGACAAGATTCATTTATATTTCCCTAGAATACATTTTTTGCTAAAATGTATTTTCTACACATAGATTATTGTTTACGATGTAAACATTGCACGTTACTTTGTTTGCTGTAAGTAAAACAGATGTAGAAGCATTCTCACCCTACGGTAGTAAATAAAGTGCCATTTGTCATCAGGCGTCTGTCACGCCGACGACTCAGTGACGAACACTCCGGAACTGCCTCCCTGGTGTCGTACTCGGCGTTCCAGAGTCCTTGCGGTTAACAATGAAATGAACTTAACTGTTACAACATATCGATTCAAGTATCACTACACAACTATGCGCGTAAACAAAACAAGTACATATATTATTTGAATATATGTACTTTTAATAGATAATGGTAGGAACTACAAACTCATTATGTTTCGTAATAAAATAAGCATTAACAAGTTTAATCCTATTACAGAATAAAATAACAAGTCGTCTTTGTGTTTTTACAAAATGAAAACAAATTACGGGAAACAGCGACACACACTTTTCTTACTTAAAGTAGGGGACCGAATAAGCTTGCTCTTTTTATTCAGTTATCGCGTCACAACCAGTGCCATACGTATCATAATGCTCTTCATTTTATTATCAGAGGCGCGGGTTAGGGTGAGACAAGGAACTTGCTCCCGAGGCGCGCTCGAATCGTTCACACTTTTAATTTAGTTGCTCCTAATGTATGCGAATAACTGAGTAAGGAGGGTAACATCCCCGCTCACTACCTCACTGTTAAACAACTATCACGCGTAGGGTGCGTTAGGCCTTAATAGTTTTCCCCTCTGCTTCCATACATTATGCAAATACGCCAGTGATATGTCAGCCAGTACACTTGGGACTTTTATTGTTGTTCGTGAGTTTATTCCCTTTTATTAAGTTAACTTTAATTAAATTCAAGCCGACGTATTTGTAAGGCCGATTGACTGAAAGGTATTAAGCGTCGAGATTTATCCGCTTACATGTGGGCTTAGCGATGCGGAGTGCTAGTATATTAATGGCTAACGGATTTGAAATAATTGGATATGAAGAGTGCTCGAAACATACACCACTAATGGTGTCGAATGGTGGATTTTACCAATTGCTGGAATTGCTGCTGAAAATAATAGTAAGAATTGAATGATACGATTCTATAGTAGACGATCTTCATACACACACACATATATTATGTCAAACAATTGTACTTAATTTACGTTAAGTACAATCATCAAACTTTAACTAGGTACTCTGGAAAAAAATTACCGGAAAATGTTAGAAAGTATTACAAAGCAATGTACGCATTATTTATCGAATGATGCCGAGAGGCAGGTACATACATACCTATATGAAAAAACGTAGGTAGACATTCGCAGGAATGTGTCGACTGAAATAAACTGTATCTATATAAGTAAAAACATTTGTACAGCGAGACCATTTGGCCAGAGGCAAGTATATTTATTGTGTTGTGCGGTATTTCAGAGTAACCCTTACGCGCTCAAGGAGGGCGGCGGCGAGATGTCTGCGTGGACGTCGGCTGGCCTTCAACCCTCAGGCGGCTACTACCCCTACGACCCTACACTCGCAGCCTACGGGTAAGTCCCCAGGGTCCAAGAGAGCCCAGAAGTCCACAGCGCCCGCGCCACTTTAGATAAAGCCCACGCCGCGCCGCACCCGGATTAACATAATACCTCCCTATCGAGACTTATCTCTCTAATAGATTGCAATGCGAAAGGCTCGTGTTTGTATTTGGCGACTCGTTTTGACTTTAATAAATTCTGTTATACTGTGCATATGTACCCCTCACATGTTTTAGTGTTATTGGATTCGGACGCGTTTTACTGAGTGATCGTTTTAAACAATGCCCCCACTGAATACATTAACATACTTGTTGTAAAATTAAAACATTGTCTGTGTACACCCCACTTTTGTTTTCTCATTTATTTGACGTGTTTATAGGCAGTTCGATAAGTTTGTCCCCAATAATATTTGCTCGTATAAACCTCATAAAATACTTGTCATTACGATCTGTCATTGTGTTAGGTAATTATTAGACCGATTTGTGAATACAGTCGGTGGTTTCATATTACACATTTCACATTGTCAAATCACGTGTCATTATTAACTTGTTGACATTTTATACGCGGTCGTTAAAAGCCAGTAACTATAGCCCGTCACAAGAATTCACATAGATTGGTTAAATATAGATAATGTGGCATCGATGCATGTTTAACATTTCATATAATTAGAAAACAGGTTCCTTTAGCTCATACAGTCAACATATCCATTAAATTGTTAATACATGTGTTGCTTGTAAAATGAGTGTACCTAAGAACATAAACAATAATTAGGTATATATATGTACATAGTTAACAACATCGTACTGGGGTCCTCTCTGCCTACGCCTTTAAAATGTATACATAAAATTAAAATTAGACAGTTCTTTAACAAATTACAGACACGAAATGATGCTTAACAAAGAGACTGTCTGGCTTGGCATTATAATGTAGTCGACGATTCTCTTGACATTCTTTAACAATATTAATGCTATGATAAAAGTGATGTAAGTGTAACGACTTGTAGAAAGTGTTATTTAATTTTTTTAACATTAAAGTGCACCGATAGAGGCGTACGCACACGCAGCAGTGCGCTACGCAGTGCGTGTCGGCCGCAAGGGACAAATGACCGAGTAACCACTCCCGGTTGTTCGCCGTCCCGTTTCGACACGTACACACCAGCACCTCTGACAGAGACGGATGACGCCACATCCATTCGCACTAGTGCTTGATTAATTCACAGTTTTTCTTTGAAACGCGATCGCACGACGCGTTTCGCTGACGTTTTCGGCAAACTTATCAACCCGTCAGACTTGTCGACGAACAAGGGTGGCCTCTTATTCAATTTTATTTATATCGAATCGTCTACAGCCACACGAACTCGTCTTTATATATCAGCAGCGGTCGTCATAACACTGTCATAACAATGTATTATACAGACACATCAATTAAATACACGTTTCACGGCGCACTTGAAATTTATCCGTCCATGAATCACATCGAAACTGCCTGAAAATAAAAACAAATCATGATACATCAAAGCGGAGTTATGCTGACAATTCGGCTGCGCTCGACTTAATATATAGCAGGCGGTGCGTTATAATCTAAAAATAATTAGAGGCGACATTAGTTTTTATGCGTAAAAAAGACGCGACGTTACCGTATCGTGGCGGGACGAGTACGGAAATACACCGTGATATATAGCGCCCCTGATGTCCCAACACAATGCTTTGCTACTCCAACGCACGCATAGGATGATCATTTTGTTTCCGTTATCATTGTGCTCCATAGTCTCAATTTTAAATTTATATTACGTTCCCCAAATGTTAAATTATATTTCTATCGTAAAGTGTGACATGTTCTATTCGGAAGTTTAATTACAGACAAAGTGGCCAAAACAATTGTTGTGTATTCATTTCAAAAGAAAACTTCATAAGAGGCTCATAAAACGTTCCGGGGGTCGCAATAAGTTAGCCGGACCGAATAAATAGCAGCACAAAGAAACAACTACGTTGAAAAGCGTACATAAGCAACAAAACTTGGCCGCGATGTAGGCGCTCTCGAGTTAAGTACCGTTGGCGTATTATTTGGAACAGCCTGTAATCTGCCACGCCCGCCGCGCGCCGAAATGAAAAATTACTCAGCTATTTTTAACAAAAGTCTCGAGCACAGAAAACGTACAAAAATTAGAGAAAAGAGACGAGGGAGCACTTGTACCGCACCATTGAGATCAAAATGCGCAGGAAATTACCGCGCCCCGAGCACGGAGCTCTGAGGGAATTATTTGTGTGCCAACGATTTGGGTTGTTACTTTTTAAATAACCCAAGTAAGGGCGCTTGTTAACGAGACACGCAGCTCGAACGACATTTATGACCATTTAACACACATCTCGTTTAGGGACACTACCGTGATAATTCACACTATCACTACAATCCATCATGGCTTATAAGAGTTGTGCAAAGTTGACGACAAATTAATATTTCAACATACAGATAGTTTTAGTTAGCAAATGATAACTTACGGGCAGCAAACTAATTATTAAATAAGTTACTTATAATTGGATTTTGCCTGCACAACCTTGCCAGAAAACGTATAAAAAATAATATAATAATTGTCTTGTAATATCTGCAGCTGCAATTCATAAGAATTTCTCATTATGTCGTTCGGTGTAAAGCTAGAATTATTAATTATTTTGTCGCTGTCAAAACCTACAAAAACCGCATGTTATCGGAAGACAATTACCGGTGCGTGTATTGATCATAATTAATACGTCATACGGCGCGTTCCAATCAGGTGTAAGTTAGTAATAAATGTATCAAGATAATTGTGTAGGTACGAACAGCTCGACAGGAGGAAGCCGCCGTTATTAAATAATTACTATATGATTGACTTTCGCACATCCGTTCTCTAAAATGTTCTATATCCTAAAATGATTAATTTATTTTCAGAAAGATAAAGAACGCTTTACTTGGCCTTATTTTAAAGATAAAATTGGGTTGTAATAATAAAAGTGCTAAAAATAGAAACACTTCTAATTGATTATACGATATATACATATATAATTAATTTCGTATTTTTCAAGCGTAATTGAAAAATGTGTTTGCTATTTTGACGCACACAAAAATACAACGTCACAATCCAAAAACAGGCAAAAAAATCACAGAAACTGTTCAAGCGAAAATAGTATTTAATTTTACTAGTTTTTAAGTAAGTACCAGGAGCGTAGGAATTGTATTATATTCAAATTAAAAAAAAAACTGAATGTGAATTAGTAAAACATAATAAAATTTGTATCAGTCTGTTTAAAAACTATCCAGTTGTTTCCTATGATTTCCAAATTATTAATAAAAAACACCTAACTAACATTAAAAATATCACTTCCTTAGTCCTTATTGGTACGAGTACTATATTTTAATTAGAAATTGATTTATCAAGGCATTTTTAGACCGAAATTGTAGCTAAAAAAGGAAATCATGCCGTCAACCTTTGCGGTTGTTTACGTGCGATATGATCGACCAACTCCAAATGACATATTCCTATCTACATGATCTACATTGTATTATTAATTTTGTAATCTCCATATAACAATCAATAAGAATAAGTATCGAGCAATTTCATTAAAATCACATCAGTATTGAACAAGTACTTACAAATTATAAGGAAATTACCGACACAAAGATCAAAGATAAAAAATAAAAAAACACTCGGTTAAATTACATGCAAAATTTATGAAGTAATTCACAATATTTTTTTTCAAAGTAAAATTATAGTTTTATTTTTTTAATGAATAGATTACTTAGTGATGACAACCCTTAATACCATGATTTGTGGCTTGGATTTTGGTTTGGTGATTGGTAGTCTTTACAACTATTTTATTTGAAAAGTATCTCTAGATTTGGAAGAGCAAAGGTACCTATGTTGCGGCGCGGCCGGGTAAAACATTGAACGAGCAAGAAGAAACTAAAATAAACCAGCAAAATAGGGTTTGGAAAAAAATCAATCACTAAACGTTTAAAATTAAAAACAAACATTCTTTCTTCGTGGTTAACATGTATTCTAAACTCTTCAAAGTAACTAAAATATTAGTATAACAGATCTACATGAGACTGTAACAAAGCGAATACTTCTTAAAAGGCCTACTAGATTCGTACTTGGGTTGCGAATCCTAATTCTAACATGAGCCAAACCACCCCCTCCTTAGGGGGTATTACTTATGTACATTCGTTTTCGTATATAGCTGTACGGTTTACGGGGGAGGGCACGTAGAGGCCGCAATTCCCCCAAGCGGGTAGATCGTAAACCTTCGATACCGCGAATTGAATACTCGGCAAGCGCAAATATGTAGCAACGGTAGTGAGCGCCCGCCCAACACTGCCCCGGCTATTGCGGGGACGTGTGTCATCTGAAATACTGTAAACGTGTTTTTGGCAAAAAATGTTTCAGTTAAAAAAATACAATCTATTATCAATATGCGTCTTATTTCTGACGTCGCAGTACTATACAAAATGGATAATAATAAAACTGATTTTAAAATATTTCGTGTTTTACATTTTTTATTAATTTTTCACATAATTATGGTTACGTAAACTTAAATACATGACGATTTTAAGACATGTAACTTTAATAACAGACAAAAGTTCATAATTTAAAATTCAAGTGATTCATTGTTTTCCATTGCTGTTAATCTTTCCTAATTTGAAAAGCAATGCAGGAAATGTCACACAAAATTAATCCAGACATTTGTTTGGTGCATAAATATAGCACATTATTCATAGCTCACCATAGGTTTTATGTTTGTGTCCCCAAATTAACAAAGATACAAAGTATTTCCGCCCATGAAAGTATTAACATTCTCAGAGCCGAGTGCATGTGTTCTCACAGGGCGGGCGCGCCGAGTAAGTGGACTGTCTAAATTAATTAACAAAGCTTAAGAGATTCAACCCTCGCAGCAGCTTCAGGGCTGTAAAACAAAGCGGGCGAGACCGAATCAATAAAACGTGAAGCAATAAAGCGCTGTTTTTCCTAACCGACGCTGTCGTCACTAACCACGGTAGATTTCTGAAGAGCTTATTCGTGTTCAAACTAATGCGGTTTGGTTTCAGAGGCTTTGAATGTATGCGCGATTGACATACGTATTAATATGGCACAAAGGATGTTTCTTAAACGAATACTTAGTTACGTACCGCTATGGCGTGTTGATGTGATAGGGCAGGACGACTTTTCTCAAAAAATAAAATTGAATTAAAATTTTAAATTGCGGGTCGGTTGGTGTTTTTACAATAAAACCAGCTGCCCGATCGGCGCGTGAGGCCCGTGTCGCCGGCCGGCGGTCGTTCGGCGACTAGCAATACCGGTGATGTCCGGTGAGCAAGATGGCGTCGCGATCGATTGGTGGTGAGTACGCCCACGCTGCCCACGCCTGCGCTGCACCGCCCTGCAATTGCAACCACAGTGCAACGGTCCGCCCTCTAATGCATTCAAGACACTTGGACTAGAAAAAAATCTTTGCAATGTCTTGAAAAAATCAACTCTGCTATTAACTTTATTTAAATTATTTACGACTATACATCAATATATGAAAGTAATATAAATAATGTTTATTTCTTAAACTTATTTATTACTAACCAGGAATGAAATCTGCCAACTCACCAAACTTGATCCAATAGAACAATACTCGTAACAAAATGTCAAATTTGCAAATCTTATTCACGCCACGCTTACGACGCGTACGTGAAAATCTCTCCAGCATCTTCAAAACTAAACCCTAAGCGAGACGCTCAACATCACAATTTGCGTGAATGTCAAACGAGTCGGGACCATTTTTTAACTACTTTCACGCGCGAAACCTATTTATTGATCCCCTTAGACCGCGCCTTTGTCATGTCGGCAGGAAAATCGAAGTCAGGTACGATACTGGCAGCGCCGGGGGGAACCCACAATTACGCTCAGAATGCGGATGCAAATGGGACCGTAGGCCCTAAAAAGTGTACCGAATGTCGCTCTGTGCCGCGATAGCTTTATTTTTGCTGCCGTTACGAGAAATCTATTGCCTCAAATAAAACGCCTATCTGCTACGAATTTAAAAGCCACTTTATTGCTCGCTGTAAACGATTCGACGCATGGTCGCTGTAACTAACTGAAATATGTTGTATTGAATCTTCTCGTTATATTACGGATTTGTTGGTTTGTAGGTACTACAGAAACATACAGAGATTTTACATTAACACTCATTATTGATTCATAATACCATTTCTTTTAATATTTGCCTTTAACTTAATAAATAGTAAACAAACTGTTTAAAATGAAGTTATTCAATTGTTTCACGCGTAAAACATAATCCGGATCCAATAGCAAATGTGTTTGATTTGGGGTTGCGAAGTTTTTCAGCTCTGCTAGGCCGGAAGCGTACATTACCATTAGGCATATGTAAGTATAAACATGTTTGTCGACAGATATGGAGCCGGGTACGATTTAGCTGCGAGACGGAAAAACGCGACACGGGAGTCAACGGCGACACTCAAGGCGTGGCTGAACGAGCACAAGAAGAACCCGTACCCTACGAAGGGCGAGAAGATAATGTTGGCGATCATCACCAAGATGACGCTGACGCAGGTGTCGACGTGGTTCGCGAATGCGCGTCGCCGGCTCAAGAAGGAAAACAAGATGACGTGGGAGCCCAAGAATAAAACGGACGACGATGACGACACAATGCTCTCTGACGAGGAGAAAGACAAAGATGAACAGGAGGAGAAAATAAAAACTCACAAAGGTTCGTTAAGTTCCCTATTTTACAACATCAGATAGTCAACCGTTATACACTCAAAATGATGTACTTGCCATATGAAAAAAGCAAAACAAACGTTGACTATCGGATGTTGATTCAAATTTAAAGCTTTCACAATCTCTCTATTTGCAATACAAGTTTTCCATTTCCAATTGCGCTGCGAACTATTGTACTGTTGATGTATTTTGTTGTGTTTGTTCTCGATAAGCGCGACTGCGATTGTTTGATTTGCTAATTTACCTATTGCACTAATTACCCTTGACCTATGGTACTTGGTCGGTGTTATTTCATGTTCGGATTGAGTCGGTGTTGTTAACCGTTTAAAATTGCTTTAATTTTGTCGGTGTATAAATCGTCAAGTGAATTGGCATAACGTAGCTGCGGGCCGGAGGGTGTGCGGGTCTGTGAGGAGGCGAGGGTCGGAGGGGCGTGCGGCGGTCGGGGGGAGGTCTCAGGCGTGTAACTGTGCGTAACCGCTCCTCGCTACCGGATTTCCTATTCGTAGTAAAGTGGGCGGCGCCAGGGCCCAAAATTCATATAACGCGTCTTCCGTTCGTCGCTACAACGGGCCGACGCGACGCTCGGAGGTCGCGTTCAGCTTGTCTGACGATCTGCCCTACTTCATGTTCTTGCCAAAGGATTTGTCGAGTTCGTGGATCGTTTCTTTTATGAGGATATTCCGCTGGAACGTAAGTAAGTAAGTAAGGTTTTTGGGGATTTATAATGTACACATCTACTGATCGGATTCATGTCACAATGTTTTGTTAGCATATAGGTATGTTTATGTTGTTTGTTGACATTACTATTGACACCTAATTACGTTATGGATTTATAATCCTCCATAATTCTAAACCTACAAAGATCTGGCCAGATCGACCCTAAAACATAGATAGTACTTGAGTACAACATTTCTTTAAAAGGGTAAATGCAATAATAAAATCCAGATACGTATTCGACATGGTACGTGAGAACTGCTGGGGCGGCAGTTAGTCCCTCTTGTCAACAACATAAATTATAAGTAGGCATTGTTACAATAAAGATGGTTTCTAACAGAGTGTTTTCATAGCGAAGTTCACGTCGCTAATGGAAGCGCGAGGGCGTCACGCATAACGCCCGGCATACGCTCGTGTAATGAAGCCCACTATTGTTGCGACAGAAGTGTACTTAATTCGCTGTGTATAACGCCGCGTGAATGGCCCTCTCACAGCCATCTCACACGATTCATAAAAGTAAAGATGTGTGCCATAACATACCTAAGTGAAGCTGAAACTGATGGAACTAATGACTAATTTATTGAAGACATAACATATTACAATTGTTTTATATTCCTCTTCCCCCCGGATCGCCTCCTCTTCCCCCCGGATCGCCTTACGGTGTAGACGTGCCAAGAGACCTTACTACAGTAAATTATAATTAATAAATATATTTTTGGGCAAATTTAATTCAAGTGAAATAATAGGACAGCAGCAAACGCAGGAGGTGGCGGATTGAGGAAGGCCGCGTGAGTAGTTAACGCACACAAACAACACTGTAACACATAACTCCAACAACGCGAGACTCTCTTACTTCTGTCGCCCTGGTACCGCTGTTTGACTTAACAAATCAACGCATCGGCTGTACAAGGACAGCCCACCTTACCTGCGTCACACGGTGGCCGTGCGAAGGCCGCACACCGATGAACACTTAGCCACGCCCATTAACTCGCTAATTGGACCGAACTCAGGCGCATAAACCTCCCACTAGCGCCCGCGCATCTGTGAGTACTGTGACTCATTGGCTCCTTGCAATTATTATACCCTGGTACATCGGCTTTGCAAATCAGAATGAACAAATCGCTGTCAGACGGAAACATCAGTGTTACGGATATAGATATTACTCCCCCGAATTTTGTTGCTGTACGCAATAACAAACGGCCTAGAGAAGAAGATTTTTCGTCGGAATTCAACAAATTTAAAGACGAAATGAGAGCGTTATTTAGTTCGTTTATAAGCACTCAGCAAATTGAACTAAAAAATATTGCATGTAACATAAAAGAAATTCAAGAAACAAACGTTAAAATTGAGACTTCGATAGCATTCTTGGCTGCTCAGAACGAGGAATTTACCAAACAAATCAAAGAGTTGGAACTCCAGGCAAAGCAGGACCGGGAATATATCTGCATACTAGAGGACAAAATTGAGGACCTGCAACGCTGTTCGCGTAAAAATAATATTGAAATTAAGAACGTGCCGAAAAAACCTCAAGAATCCCGAGAAGACTTAATAAATATGTTCACTTTACTGGCTAAAACTATTCACTTAGAGACAAGTCCGCGGGATGTAAAAGATATATTTAGGATACAAAGTAGGAAAGGAGACAAAAACCCACCTATTTGTGTAGAACTGGATTCGCCTATATTAAAACAAGATTTATTAAAAAATATTAAGTCCTTTAACATTAAAAATAAGTCGAAGCTCCAGGCTAAGCATCTCGGTTTCACTACTAATGGGGATGACCCTATATTTATTTCCGAACAATTAACGACAAAGAACGCCCGTCTATTCTTTTTAGCCCGCGACTTAGTTAAAACTAAGCAGTACAAATTCTGCTGGACTTCATTCGGTCGAGTGTTTGTAAGGAAGGACGAAAATTCAAAGGTCATCCTGATTAGGGGTGAAGCTCAGGTGCACGCCCTGATGCAAGTTGCATGACTAGCATTCGCCATGTTAATTATTGTTTTGTATACAGTAGTACTATTTATACTTATAATTTTGGTTCTCATGTTTGTTATTATAAATTATGTTTGGATAAGTTCGGGAAAATTAGTCAGTTACAATGTTAAAAATCTTCAACACTACACTCTCCTCATTTATTACTCACACACACTTCAAACTCTACTCTTACAAATACCTAAATCAACTCACGCATTCACTTACACAAACATACAGACACAGTATCAGGTGCTTAAGATATACCCGCTAGAATATTATATATATATTTATATTAATAGAAGACATATTTACTGTTATCACCAACGACAAACTAGTAAAGACTACAATTTTCGTAATAATATTTTATCATTATGAGTGATACCTTACAAACAATCAACGACATAGACAATATTGAAATAGCAAGCTCGATAGAATGTGACGTCTCAGATCTTTCTAAACATATACAGGTTAAGAGCAATGACCTGACTATAATCTCTCAAAATATACGAAGCATATACCATAACTTCGACGATTTTGTGGCCATGTTATTTACTTTAAAATTCGAAGCTGACATAATTATTTTAACAGAATGTAGACTACATAATAACAAACCCATTCCTCAACTGGCTAATTACCAGTCTTACATAACTAAACGCCAGATGAACCAAAATGACGGGGTAGCTGTTTATGTCAGGAATACGTTAAATCCAAAAATACGGGAATTGCACCTAAATCAAGCGTCATGCATACAGGTGGATATTTTAAATAACACTATTCTAGGTATATATCGCTCTCCCTCCACAACCAACATTGATACCTTCATTGACTCATTAAGCTCACATTTAGAATCATTACCGTCACAGAAAAATGTAATAATAACAGGAGATTTAAACATTAATATTAGACCAAAACCTACTGAAGTATCTCATGAGCAAAAAAAACCGTGTAAATTACTTGACCATGCTGTCATCGTATGGTATACTGTCTGGTCATACATTACCCACACGAGAACTCAACTGTCTAGACCACTTTATGCTAAGGATTAACACTAAACGGATTTCTGCTTCGATCGCTATTTTACAGACTACTATTACAGATCACTACACAACGTTTTTATCACTCTCGAAAACAAAATATAGTAAAATCAACAGGAAAAAAACCATTAAAATCATTAACTTTGAACAAGCTTTGAAATATTTACAAGAACAAAATATATCAGAATTACTTTTTTGTAGCGATCCCAACGTATTAACTGATCTTCTCATTAAAACTTTAATTAATTCAATTGAAATCAATACTACTATTAAACAGGTACCTAACAGTAAACGTATAATCAAACCTTGGATCACCCCGGGAATACTAAAATGTATAAAAAACCGAAATAGACTACAAAAAAACCTGAGGGCAGATCCATACAATGAAATCTTAAAAATTACCTATCGTCGTTATAGAAATTACTGTAATTACCTAATCAAAAAACTAAAAAGACAATATGAAAGAGAATTGCTTGCTAAATCGGTAACAAACACAAAACAACTCTGGAATAACATAAAATCAATAACTCATACAAATAAAATGAAAAATCAAAGCACAGAATTATTAAATATTTTGACATCTCCAAGTGATTCAGTAAACTTTGTAAATAATTACTTTGCAAACGTCGGCAAACAATTAGCCCACAATATTCAACCTAGGCCATCTAATACGCTTACTACCGGTTATTTACCACATACACAATGTAACTCCTTTGCGCTATTGGAGACTAATCCCATAGAAGTAGAACAAACCCTAATGAGCCTGAAATCGGAAAGTGCCCCAGGCTGGGATAATATATCCACTAAATACCTAAAGTATATTAAAGGGGAGATCGCCCCAATCATCTCCCATCTCATTAACATCTGTTTTCAAAGCGGAGTTTTTCCAGGAGCTTTAAAGCAATCAATTATAACGCCTGTTCACAAGGGTGGGGACAGAGATGACGTCAACAACTACAGACCGATCTCAGTTCTGCCCGCCATCTCAAAAATAATAGAAAAAATAGCTAATAACAGACTTAAAGATTACTTAAATAAATTTCAAATAATATCGTCTAATCAGTTTGGCTTTAGGCAAGGAGTGTCGACGGAAGACGCTGTGACCGCTCTTAGTTCATTAGTGACAGAACATCTAGATAAGGGGAGCAAATGCCTCACTGTGTTCCTAGACCTTAAAAAGGCATTTGATACCGTCTCTGTCCCAACTCTTGTGAACAAGTTAGAAAGCGTAGGAGTAAGAGGAGTCCCTCTTAATTTCTTT